GGGGGGGGAGTGTTATTAATTCTGCCCAAAAGAGCTAGATCCAGTGAGAACAGCTCATGCACTTGGCAATTGGACAAAGGGCAGGACCGGCTGCTTCTCGGGGACATGTGAAAGAACGGGCTTGTGCTGAGTTTGAAAGGGTCACGCGTGGATGGAGGGGCTCACATTACAGCACAAATCACTCTACGCTAACTTGTCAGGGGCTGTGAAGCGCGTCAGAGGATGGGGTCCCAGAAAATCCCTGGGGGGCCTCCAAGGGAGGTACTCACACTGCTCAGGGCAAGTTTCCTCACCCTCCCTAGACCCTGAGAGATCAGCAATAGAGCAGCCTTCACACAGCACAATCAAGGCCTCTTTATCTAGGAGCAAACCAGTAAACAGGATAAGACGCAACCTGCGGCACACTGAGACACACTTAGTAGATTAAGATTCCTTAGCTGCTTGAATTTCTTGTGGCAGGGAGCAAACTAATCGTATTTGGGAGGCAGGAAGGAGCTCTGCCTTCCATGGAGGAAAGGCATGTGGGGCTGTCCTTCTGGCCAAGGGTCTCTTAGATCCACACCACAAGGACAGACCACTTGAAATGCAGGGCAAGAGCCTTGCAGACAGGTACCCCCCCATGCCATGTCAGACCAGGCAGCTAGATACTGCCGCAGGCACAAATGTAATGAGTTGAGTGTAAGTAGCGTGCCTTCCACCCACTTTACTCTGCACTGGGTGCTCACCATCAGAGCTGTTGTCGCATCAGGACAGTCATCAGAGCTTAGTCATTGCTTTTAACAGCATCTCTAAATGAACAGGGCCTAACTCAAGCAGCAGGGCAGGGAGAGAGCACACTGCCAAAGCTGGTACCTTTGTCTGCATCCAGGCAAACAGGCCCTTTTGGAAACACCCCGAGTCGGCCAAGTCAGACTGATGCCAGTACAAAAGCTTCCTCCCCTCTCTATGAAATGTGAACTTTCATTTCTACCCAGGGGAACTTTGACAACCTTTTCTCCAATGCCTGAAGAAGGGTGTTTGTGCCCGAAAGCTTGCAATTAAAGAATTGTTTTTGCAAAAAATCTAGTTGGTCTAATAGAAGATATCACCTCTACCACAAGTCCTGATTGCATGCAGAGAGGGGAGGAAAAAGCACTGGCAGAGCTTGCTTTGCATCCTGGTGGGGGAGCAGGAGGGGACCACAAAGGTAGCAGCCTCATGGTTAGACAGCAGCTGCATCTGTTCAGTGCAGTCATCTGACTGCAGCCTCTGTGAGATATTTCCAGCACTCGCTCACCCAGATTCAGGAAGCGTGAGTGAAAGCACAGCCATAGCACAGATCTTACAGTTGGTGACTCAGGGGAAACTCCCTCATTGTTAGCATTCGTTTGCTATGTAACACATGCAACAGAGGCATGCTGCAGAAGCACCTGGCTTCACCTACGTCAGAGTCTCAGGAAAGCTGGGTAAGACTCAGGGCTCTTACCATACAAAATGCCTCATCCAAGAGGAATTGCATGTTCCCTCCAAAGGCAGGGCAACAGCATTCCAGCAGCTTGGAGTCACCATGTTCTCCTAGCAGGAAATGACAGAGTGACACATGCTGTGCTCCAAACAAAACAATGAAATCAGATGGTAGGAAGGGAAATGTAGGAGGACAAGAGTGCAATTAGCATTGCAGGTGTCCCTCACCTGACTGGGAGAAGTCACACTTCTCATTCTGAAGAATCCAGGAGCCCTTTGCAAGTGGGATATGTGGGAATTTCTGCCAATCCCCAAAATGCAGCCAGCTCTGGGGTGGAACATGTCATCCATTTATCACTGCAACAAGAAGCTGGAGAAATGAAGAACTGCAGATGTTGGGGGCTTTCGATGTGGAAGGAAATTGCCATGTGGCAGCTCAGTCTAGACAGCAGAGCTGGCACTCGGAAGATTGTAAGAGCTTACAGTGTGGGAGGTTTGCTTTCAGTTCTCATTTGCTGGACCTGCCATGGGCAGCAGCCATGCATGGGCTTCCAACAACTTCCCAGGACCCCTTTGAGACAGATGCTCCCAGCAGCACTGACAAGCTGCAGGGAAAGCTACACCCACGCATACCGGACCAGGGAGATGAGAAGCTGAAGTCACTGCAAAAAAAAAAAAAAATCCCAGGGGATCCCCAACCCAGGGAAGAAAGTACTTCAATTTAGGAGAGAGGAACAAGGGAAACTTTCCACCCTGGGGAAGCAGAGGTCACATTTCAGGAGAGAGCATTTCTGCACGTTTGGTGCTTAAACAGAAAACCCCAGAGGCAAGGCAGGCCTTTCCCCACAAACGACTGCGCGTGTCTGCATGCGGTTCGCTCTCGGTTCAATGGCAGGGTCTAACCTCTTGTTTGTGCAGCGTTTGCCTGCTGCCAGGGTTACTGGCGTGTTTCCCTCAAACAGTGTGCAAGGGCCTCCTAGTGACCGCGAGGAAGCAGAATGGAGACTTGGCAGGAAGATTTAGCAGCATCCTGAAATAAAGTCAGGGTTTTCAGCACCCCATGCTACAGTTCAAACCAAAAGGGGCACGTGATGGTGAGCAAGAATCCAGCTGTGACTTTATTCTGGAGAGAGGGGCTATGCAGGGTAGGTGGGGAGGGGTTAGGAACAGATTCAAGTTTCCAGGAGAAGGATTTCCTCTGAGAAAGCAATGGCTGCAGGAGGCAGGATTTCCCCCCCTAACTAAGGCAGGTTTCTTCGGTGCCATGATACCGGATGCAGTAAAGTGCTTTGTATCAAGCAAAACGGGACAGAGATCACACACACAGGTCAAGC